AGTGCTATATATATATATATATATATATAGCACTAATGACACTGTGAGTTTATAAAGTAAAAGCGTGTACACGTTAGAGTCTCATAAATAATTATCAGGATAACAATATCGCAAAAATTAAACTGACGAATGTACACAAAATTATACGAAGTAAATGATTAGGATATAGGTTACGCTCAAACACCATTTACTAGATTTATGCAAGACATATGGCTACTAATAGTATGACTGATTAGTTGGCGTTTAACAGTTAAATATTTAATATCTGCAACCTGAACCTTTTAGCTAAGTTGGTAAAACACTCACCTGGTGTTAGAATCGAAGCCTAGAAAATAATAATCAAACTTACAATTACTATGACCTTTAGATAAGACTCTAGAACAGGGGTTGTTTGTGAGAAAGGAAGAATATGGAACTTTCAATATTTTTGTTTGTTTGTTTTCTTTTAGTGCTTTGCTAGCAAGCACTAAAAGGTTAGCCCTGTAGCTCAGTTGGTAGAGCACTCTCGAATCGGAAGAGAAGAAGTAATAAAGAATTTAAATTACCACAACCTGAAAACCAAATGGTGGAACTATATTTTCAGTGGTAGTAACACGTGTAATATTCGAACAGCATAACACGTAAAGCTAATTATACAATAGATCTTTGGAATTACATTTAAGTTTAAGTTTCAAAGCATATTATATGTTTCTTCCTCTAATGTTTTGGTACAGTGCATTTCGTCTTTGGAAAAAATATTTAAAGCAGAAAAATAGCTATGGGAAAAAGTTTCAGTGCATGATATGTTATATGAAATATTATATATATATATATGTTAATGTTCAGGATATTTCCATGTTAAATTTAGGAAGGAGAGTTTATCTGGGACGAATACGTTCAAGGGATCATTTTAGGATGTTTCTTTTTCGGCTACATTCCATTAAATTTTGTTGGAGGTATACTTATCAAGAAATACGGTGCGAAAATGTCATTTGGATTAGGAATACTTATATCATCTGTGTTAACCGTACTGTCCCCTCCAGCAATAAAACTTCATGCTGGTGTTTATATCATTATGAGAATAATAGAAGGCGCAAGCCAGGTAAGGATCATATTGCTTAAGTTTATTAATTTCAAAAATTAATCAATTTTAAGATTACTTGTCTTATCTTCATAAACAATTTTATTGACCATAACAATCCAAAAATCATTTGATATGAACAAGCTCATGATATTTTAATGTCATCTGAATAAATATAACAACAAAAGGCCAGTGGTACAGCGGTATGCCTGTGGACTTACAACGTTAGAAACCGGTTTCGATACCCGTGGTGAGCAGAGCACGGATAGCCTATTGTGCAGCTCTGTGCTTAATTACAAACAATTAAACAAACAACAAAAGCTAAAATAAGAGCGACATAGAAATACCTTCAACACATTCTGTGTCCTGGCTCTAAATCCTTAAGGTATTAAAACATTAAGTTTAAAATGTTAATTATTTCTGCTTTTTACGTAAATTCAAACGAGCTGGTTATTTACTTCTAATAACTGGGATGCAAATTCACCTTCCGCTACTGTTTATTTTTCAATAGTATTTTGGGTTATTTCTTGAAATAGCTCAAAGAGATGATTTCGGATTCGCTTTTCAAAACAGTCATTACTACAGTTTTTTAAATCGTATTATATTTCAATGAGTTTGATGTTCTGCTGGTTTCAGAATTTAAAGCAATTTTTTCACATTATGATTTTAGGCTTCTACTAAAGTGCTTAATTATGTAGCAGAAACGACATAAAATCTGACACTCCCAAAACTTTTTCGGACAAAAAATTATTCTACATTGTTTCTTTTCTTCGCGCAAAACTACACAATGGGTTATCTGCGCTCTGTCCGCTGCGGGGAATCTAACCCCCGACTTTAGCTTTGTAAGTCCGTCAACTTACTGTTAACCGATAAGGAACTAATTTGAATTGATATAGAGCTTATATCAGCTTCTCCGATCATATTACCTCCATACATATGTGCCTTTTGTCGGTGAGTTAGCGATAAGTTGACACATGTGGTATAATTTCCTTTCGTTTGGAGAGAAAGTGCTGTCGATTGAAACGTATAGTCCTATGTATTATTGACACAATGCTCTTAAATAACCACTTCTTAAGTTGCCCAGTATTGACACAATGATTTTTAAATAATCACTTTTTAAGAAGTCAAATATTTGCATAATGGTATAACCTCTTCCTACGATGCTATTCCTTGTATTTTGTGAAATTAAAAGTCATGGTTCGCGTCCATTTGCCGCAAAATCTCACTCCACACTTTGGGGTCATGGGTTCATTATGAGAATGACGGTCAAATCCCATTATTTGATTACAGTAGCCCAAGAGTTAACGGTGGGTGCTTTTGAATAGTTGCTTTCTTTGTAGGCTATCAGTTTAAAATTGAAGATAGCTTGCGCCTCGTTATTCAAGTATGGACGATACAGCTTGTTAGGCCAATATATCTGTGTGTTTAGGGGGAATACAATGTTTTTGTTTGAATTTTTGTTTCTGATATATGCTCAAAGCTACAAAAGGGGTATCTCTTGGGAAACCAGAAATTGTAAAAACTTTCTAAATAAATGAATGAAAGAACGAAAGGACAGGAGTGTGAAATCTGACATATAATAGGAATCTGGTTTTTCACAGTCAACATAACGTGGCGTTCTTGCCGTTCAAACCTATAATTATCAATGGAATCCATATGGCTCCAGTGTATTTTTAAACACATTTCTCCAGACTAGTTATGCACCAAATTGCTTGTGGACCCATGACTTTGTTTGTTACAGGATCCTTAAGAAAACGAGTCACAAGATATGGTCAACAAAAATACCATTAATATTGCAATTAATTCCACTAACAACTGTTAAGATTTCATAGGCATTTTACATAGGAAATCGGATATTTCACCCAGTTTAATTTTTATCACTTTTTTACACTAGCCGTTGTGACAGGCAAAACACAAATTACTCAATGTGATGCAACAGGGAACCCATAAATAGTGAACAGTCGATAATTTAAGGATTAATAATTATACCAATTGCATAATTATAAACGTATATTACATGTCATTATAATAAGAATAATTTCACATAGGCTTACTATTTCGTTGCAAGTTAACCAATCTTAGTTAAAATGTTGCTTTATTTATTGAAAAATACATGTAATTTCTTTTGGTTGAGCTATTAAGGTCCTAACATTTTGTGAAGATGTTCTGAAACAATTTTTTTTTTTTTTACATTTTTCACAGAATTTCGCCAAACGTTAATTACAAAACTGTTATGGCAATATGTATATATTTATGGTCAGATGAAAATATAGTGATTTCGCGCAATTTTGACAATGTATGCTTCTGCAAAGTCAGAAATTTAGGATTTTTTGGTTAACTGGTTTTTAAAAAATGCTTAAATTGTAGCTTCCCTTTCCTTCCGCCAGAGAAACAGTGCTATGATTCTTAAAGGCTCCGAGCAATATCGTGGCAAGATATAATGAGTGTATAAAAATGGCTTCTGATACACGGTGAAATTTTTGTGAATAGTCAAATGAAGAAATATTTAGTTTTGGGCTGATTTCAGCTGTTCTGAATGAGAACATGTGTAACAAAAACCATTTTAGTGTTAATGTGAAATGTTAAATCTACTTTTTATTGTTAAGCACGAAGCTACACAATTCTCTATCCACCACTGTTATCGAACCCCGATTTTTAGTGTTATTAGCCTTCAGACTTACAGCTGAACCACTGGGGAGCATTAAATATACACACATATATATATATACACATAAGATTTGTGCGTATTTTTATTGAAATAAATGCATGTATTCACATGAGATGGTATGTTGTCCCCAGGGGGTAATAAACCCAGCTATGCAGGTTTTATTGGCCAGATGGATTCCAAAATCTCAGTTTGGTTTAGTAACTGCCTTCGTCCTCAATGGTGCTCAGATCGGTACCGTCGTAGCGATGCCTTTGACTGGTGTGTTATGCAATTCAGATTTTCTCGGCGGATGGTCGGCTGCCTTCTATGTGTTTGGTAAGTTATGATTGAGAGGATCGTCATTTCCATACAAACCTTTCGTAATCACTCGCATTGTAAACATGCCACAAAAACTAACTCTAAAAGCTCAATCTTATGGTCTTTTTTATAACATAATAATATTTTACAAGACTTCAATAACACTTTAACCTTGTACTGTTTTCTCATTTGTCAGGTTTCATCGGTTGCGTATGGTGCATATTCTGGTTTTTTCTTGTCTATGATTCTCCCTTGGATCATCCGCGCATCTCTAAACAGGAACTGATGGAGATCCAGGAAGAAACGGGAATTCAGGATTACAAACATATAGTATATATATATATATTTTAGTTCAGTGAACTGCTAAAATAGTTTTTTAACATTTTAGCTCGTAACATGTGTCTCGTAAACGTAAAAGAAAATAGAAAATACTGTGTAGTATTATTAAAAATATTAAGAAATTCTCGGCCCTTTATTTAGTTATTTTTCCTGGCATTTTGCATCATAAAAATAATAATTTTTTTCTTTTTGTACATAAAAAAACTACTTTATTCCTTCGTAGCTGCCTACAGAATATGCCTAACTTATATTTATAATACATTTGCTTGATAAAACACCTAATTAAGTAGAGCAGGCATGGCATAATGGTTAGCGTGCTCGGACTGTGAATCCTAGGGTTCATGGTTCACGATCCTTAGTTTGAGGCCGTAAATGCATTGTAAGACTAACGGTCAAATCCTACTATTCGGTTATTCTGAGAGTTGGTGGTGGGCGCAGTTGACTGCCTTCCCTCTAGTTTATCAGTTCAAAATTAGGAACGGCTATATGGAGATAGTCATTTATGTAGCCTTGCGTAAAAATCCTGGAAAATAAACAACTTGAGTAAGAAGTCATCACAATATGAACTTGAATTAACAGGAAATATATTAGTTTTTCTTTTATACCAATATAATGATTTGATGTATCTATCACACTCAGGAAAACAAACCAATCCCATGGCGGCAGATCCTCACTTCTGTTCCTGTCTGGGCATTTGTGCTAGCATTCTTTGGAACTGACTGGGGATTTTATACAGTATCAATCGACTTACCAACATACTTAAAGAACATTTTGCATTTTGACATGACACAAGTGAGCCTTCATATTTCTATATTGTTATATTTCTGAGGTAGTAGTAGAAGCTAGATATGACCTATTTAATTGTTAGTCCATTTTGTTCAAACGTTTCGAAAAAATATTTATTACAATATATCTACATTTCATTCCAGATTATTTTACGAATTAATTTATTATAAACATGTATCTTATTTTTATAATGATTGTAAAGTGCAGATTTAAATAATTATAACGAACAAAAAAAATTGCTTAATCTGAAGGATTATTTGTTTGTTTGTTTTGAAGTTAAGCACAAAGCTATACAATGGGCTATCAGTGACAGTTCAACGATGTAAGATTAACATATTGACAAGTCTAAGGACTGTTTTACTTGTTCCTGAGCACAAAACTATATAATGAGTTACCTATACATTGCACACCGCGGGTGTCGAAACTCGGATTTTCGCGCTATAAACGTTCAACTTTACCTCTGAGCTGCCGGATGATTGACTATAACATAAAGTGCTATTAAAGAAATCAAACCAGTTGGATACACAGCGTTATGTCTGCAAACTTATACCGCTAGAAACCGGGATTCGATACCCACGGTGGGCAGAGCACAGATAGCCTTTGTGCTTAACTACAAACAAACAAAATCAAAGGAAAAATATCATTATGAGAGTCCTATGGGTTAAAAAACTATTATAATCGCGATGAAGATAGTTTTATTAAACCAGCTCAAAGTTTCTTCAGTAAAATTAAAACGGAAACAAGAAGTAAGCATTGTCAGGATTGGTAACTTATATAATCACTTAATTAGTAACTATTTTTATAGCAAGATACTAAATACTAACTAGTTATAAAATATCAGCAATTAGACTTAACTGATTATATAGGCTACCAATCATGACAATGACTGATATTCAGTCGCCACAGCCGTGGTGCAAGTACTTAACAACTAACTAACTATAATGGGAACGAGGCTGACAAAGAAATTACAAATAATAATAATATATATAATAAGACTTGCTAGCAACTCCGCCCCTTAAAAACCAACCCCCTAAAAAAATACTGCAACAATAACTTCCGTTGTTGGGGCCCTATGCTCCAGTGGGAGTCTACAGGGATTATTATTATTTATAATAAGACTTAAACGCCATACTTTGATTGGATTGGGAGCGGGAGCTTGAAGTGTAAGATCAGATACGTTTTGAAGGGAAGGTTGTAAAACTGTACAGTGGGGGGGGGGGCATGTTATAATAAAGAAGTGGTCAAATTTCTACTGGGGAAAACATAAGAAATATTTTTTTGTTGAAAATTATATTGACGGGATAGAAACACCAAGTAAGCGACTTTGAGTTGTGAAATGGACAAGTATAACGGATATTTTATCCAACACTGCTTAAAACTAAGAGTATTCAAGATATTCTTGAGTCTAATTTAGAATATCCAAGTTGTTTTTTGTTTGTTTTAGAATAAAGACATATCTAAGTTGTCTACTGTATCCACTGCAAGGGATCGAACCCCGTATTTTAGCGTTGTAATTCCGTAAGCTTACCGCTTTCCCACCGAGGGACATTCAAGTTGGATTTAAACACAAGGAAGAAGCTTAACTGCTTTAGAAGAGCAAGAAATTGAAACCTATCGACATAATTAAAGTAATGATTAGAAAAACTTTGGTTATTGCAAATATTTCTCTGTTTCGAGTGGTCTTGGTTTACGATGTCCACATATCGGTATTTTAGTGATTTTTTTTTTCAGTCTAACTGAATTTCTGACATGATATTCCTAATACAGTGTTGCTTTTTGTTTTTTCGTGATTACTTTCAGTCAGATAACTTCCAAGAGTATTTCTAGTCTTGACTCTCATGAATGGAATGTTTGGAAAGTTTTTGTTTTTCTCTCTTCTGACTTACATTATGGACATTGGACAGGATGTTTTTGGATTGGATAATATTTTATATTGGATGGGTACGAGGAAGAGAAGACTGGAGGAACACCGAGTGAAAGTTTGCAAATAAAAATGTCGTCTGAAATATCTACTTTCGTAATCGTATCAGTCAATCATTTCTATATGTTTTTAGAGCTGCAAATTATTTAGAAATAATTAATAATAATAAAAGCTAAACTAAGCTATATGCTATAAAAGTTTCGTTTCTTTTTTCGCAGTTTGAATTTGGCAAAGTCTAAAAAGTTTTCAAAAATCAAGAATTTTCTTGTGGATAATTCCATTGGTTGTATAAAAAAACATAAAATAACAACAGAACAGATGAATGAAAATATCTTATATATATATATATCGCAAGTTGTTGTGAGTATTTGATAAAGAAACTTTTGTGGACACCTCAAAGATCAAGTTTCAATGGCTGTTGGATCTATTATCGGGATTTAGATCTTGGCGATCTGTAAGGGTCAGTTTCTAGTTTGACCTCTTCCTCACTCCAGAATTGTTATTATTCATTGAACTTTTTGTTTGGTAAGCTGGTTTGGATTTCATTTGGTTTACTGTTACTGCTTTCCTTTTAGGGCCATGTCCGTTTATTTTGTATCAATATGTATTATTTAATACGGTTGTTGTAGATGTATAGTTGAGGTTTCAATGTATAATCAATCGGACAAATGGTTCAAGTTTGGCAGACATTTCATTTTCCTGTGTGGTACCGACTACAAACAACAGTGACGTTTATTGCCGTGCATAGCACGTCCATAAGGCCAATGAAATAAATACTGCGCAAGGCATGGTTATACTACTATTCAGTTCATACATCATTTCCGTTTATACCGTTATGTTGGAGTGAAAACAACTTGCTCACACCGACTATTTAACATGTATTTTAATATGTATGACTATTTAACATGTATTTTAATATGTACGACTATTTAACAAGTATTTTGTAAGTACAAAAACTGCTTTTTTTCTATAAAAAAAAGAAAGGTCATGTTGATGCATTATGTCATTAATTCTGGAACTGAACTTCTTTAGGTTTACTAATGTCTAGCAAATGTTACTTGTTTTAGAAATGTAACTTCATAAGATGTACATTGTGTTTTCATTCTCAACTTGAAACACCAATAATTAGCTTTGCTAACTTTGATTTTAACAGAATGGTTTGTTATCTGCCCTGCCTCACCTCTTTCAGACTGTGGTTAGTTGCTTAGCAGGTGTTTTGGTTGACTTTATTTATCAGAAAAAGTGGTTTACGATTAGCGTGTTGAGAAAGATAGCCAACTCTATAGGTAGGTGTAAGGGCCATATGGAGACATTTTTACTCTAATTCTTTACTCCTAATATTATGACTAATTTGAGGTTTTTGTAAAATAGCATAGTTTTAGAGCATTTAATGAACACATTACACAATACACATTATGGAGAATTAAATGCAATATAAAATAAGATAGAACTTTGTGGAATTATCTAAAACATTAAAAGAGTTAATTATACAAATTACATAAACTTTGGGCAGTATTTAAAGATATTTCGTTAAATTGTTGGCATTAAACAATAAATAGTAATTAAGGTCTGATTACCTGTTTTATGATTTTATACAACTTAAAATTTATATGTTGCATTCATTACTGTGTTACCTTAACACACATTTTCAAGTCTTGTCTCATCTCTAGGTTTCTACATTCCTGCTTTGTGCTTGATAATAGTAACCCAGGCTAACTGTAAGTACAGTCTAATCATTATTATGTTGACTTTGAGCATGAGTTTCAATGGTTTCGCATATTCTGGATATTTAATTGTGGGTCTTGACATGGCACCAAATTATGCCGGTAAGTTTTTTAAAATACTAAGAAACATTTTCTTAGTCTTAGCTATTTTGTTGTTATTTTTGTAATGTAGGCAGAAGATTACAGTGGCAAATGTAATATTGAAGTTCAGTCTTGAAATGCATCATTGAATTAAGAATATGACTAAAGCCCATAGCTGTACGAGGCGGGTGGCTGTGAAGGCGGCATCCCCCTTTCCCTAGCTTGCAATACACAAACCATTCGGGCAAATTTCCAGTTTTCATTCGGGCAAAATTAGAAGAAAATATGGTGATTCAGGCAATTTCAACCTTCATTCTGGTAGCAAAAATTTCTTACTCGTAGCCTCATTCAGGCGAAAATTATACAACCCCCCTTGAAAAATTCCCCGTACGCTTCTGCTGAAGCCTTTGTTATATTCGGACTATATGATTGATTGCTACATTGTAGTTTCGTAAGAACAATTATCCATCATAGTAAAAGATTTATAGTTATGGAGTGTGCGATTCCAACAACGTTCAGGTGGACACGGTTTTATTCATCTTCTAAAACAATCAAAATACCTAAACCGTGTCATGAAAACGTTCCCTCACTATTATACCATCTCCAGCATTTTCCTGTCTGGATAACATAAGCAGGGTCAAATGTATTATGTTCTATTATTCAAGTTTTAATTTAGTGTAAGTACAAAAAAGGATGAAGCGTTATACACCAGACTACATAATACATATTAATCCATAATTTGCTTTTTGACATTCAATGAAGTCATACTTTTTCATCATTTTTTCAATTTAAAGTACACATATTGGGGATTTCCAACTGCCATATAACAGTTTTACACACACACACATACACACATATACATATATCGCATGGAACGATGAATCTTCATTACTGTTGCAGAAATCGGTCTGGTGTCTGTTGCACTTTAACAGTCTGTCCAATCAGATTTTTCCTCGGTCAGTCACAAACAGTTGGTGGCCACGTGTTTTCCTTACAGCAGACGTTTTATTTTTCAATTGACACTGTTGATAAACTCTAACGTATGTATTTGAACAGCTGATCAACATGATAATCTGTGATAATTCTCATGGTCGGCAGCCACCTGTATTCATGTTCGTTTGAAAGCCAGACAGATCTTTGCTCTTTCCCATTGTCATTTATGCTAATCATGATATGACTAAATTCCCGTATTTATAGGACTCAAGCAATTACGTAACATGTCTCATGATTAATATATTTTTAATACGCAAATAAACGGATGTGACCGAGCTGGAGAAGTCCAAGTAAAGTAGCCAAGCACAATTTAAATTTTCCAATTGTTCCATTGGATAAGATCAATAGTGACGTTATTTGGAACGAACATGAATTTCCTCATTTAGAAAAAAGACATTTCATATTAAAATATATTAAACTATCTCTAAAATATATATCCATACCACAGTCACAACTCTCGCTGTTAGGAACAGTTAACATTTCAAAACACAAAGAACAACCAATAAGAATGTTCTTTAGAAAAAAAAAAACACATCAATGTATTAAAGAAATATAATAAAATAAGCATGTTATTCAAAGTGAATTTGCCATCTTGCATTATAGCAAGTTCAATGTCGGCTATGTCCCAGAAATTCATACTTTTCGTTTCTTTTCTGGTTCTACCTGTATCTATTTTTTTATCTCATTTCTTTATTTCTTCTTCTTCAGGAGTTCTTATGGGCCTTGGGAACGGAATAGGAAATTTGAATGGATTCATTGTTCCTTACGTTGTTGGTATTCTTACTCAGGGACAGGTAAGGCAAGTTTAGTTCACAAGGTGTTAAGATAAATATTAAAGATAATTTAATTCAATATGTAAATAGTTACCTATTTAAAATATATTAGAGGAAACAGGTAAGGCAAAGTTAGTTCACAAGGTGTTAAGATAAATATTAAAGATAATTTAATTCAATATGTAAATAGTTACCTATTGAAAATATATTAGAGGAAACAGGTAAGGCAAAGTTAGTTCACAAGGTGTTAAGATAAATATTAAAGATAATTTAATTCAATATGTAAATAGTTACCTAATTAAAATATATTACAGGAAACAGGTAAGGCAAAGTTAGTTCAAAAGGTGTTAAGATAAATATTAAAGATAATTTAATTCAATATGTAAATAGTTACCTATTTAAAATATATTAGAGGAAAACTTGCCTTACGTTGTTGTATTCTTACTCAGGGACAGGTAAGGCAAAGTTAGTTCACAAGGTGTTAAGATAAATATTAAAGATAATTTAATTCAATATGTAAATAGTTACTTATTTAAAATATATTAGAGGAAAACTCGCAGGTCTTACAAATATCACGGGGACATACAACTATAAAAATATCTCAAACATACCTTTTTTTTCTGCCAAATTTTGATACGTTAGTCTTTTTTACTTGCTTATCCTTGAATTTGTGTATAAGAACTAATATATATGTATATACACAAACACGTTTATTTCACGTTTTCACGACTTTGATTAACATGCTGTTGTGTTGTTACATTCGATTCAGGAAGAGCATTTTGGTTCATCTTCAGGTTAATTTTAACTTATATTAATTTTTGTCTGCAGTTGTATATGTAAAATTTTAGCATGCGCTCACCAGATTCTAATATTAACAGATATCTCACTAACTCTGAGAAATGCAAACGTCCTGGATGCTTTTATATCAAAGTTGCATTACAGAAATAATGTTCCTAAACGAACCGAACGAAAAGTTCTTACTACAACAGTATCACAAAGTGAATATTAGTCCTAACTACAAACTGTAAAACTGCTTTTTATTGCTGATTGGTTGTGACAAATCATGTATCGTTAAATAATTCTTTTATCTATTGTGAGATTTAATAATTCTACGTTATTTATAATACACATTATTACATGCCTTTAAGTCGTGGGGGCATTATAATGTGACGGTCAATCACACTCAACGTTGGTAAAAGAGTAGCCCAAGAGTTAGCGATGGGTGGTGTTTATTAGCTACCTTCCCTCTTGTCTATCACTACTAAATTAAGGACGGCTAGTGCAGATAGCATGGTTACACCGGTGGGACAGCGGTAGAATTTATAACGCTAAAATCCGGGGTTCGATTCCCCGCGGTGGACACAGCAGATAACCTTCAAGTAGCTTTGCACGAAATTCAAAAACAACACTATATGGTCAGTTAAAAAAGAACTTACAGTCCTCATAAATATCAATTGCAGCACTTGTGGCTGACGTGTTTTTTTATTGTTGCTGTTTGCTCCTACTGTAAACGAAGTACTTATTGTGTCTTGTTTATATTGCATGTTGTTAAGTATTTTCTTTATTAAATCCTGTATTAGTTGAGACACATGTATCTCATTAACGGTCACCATGGTTCTGTTTACTCTAATAGCCAATACTCCATTTGTATATTGAGTAGGTAATATAAATATATTAGCTGTTTCAAATATCACTTCCGCTGTTCAGATGGTTGCGTTCAGGAAACTGATGTATAAAGTATTGTAAAACTCGGTGTGTGACCATATAGAAGACAATGCAAACACAGCGCTCGAATTGAGAGAAACGGGTGGAAACTCTGTTCCTTTTGTTAACAGAAAAACAAAATCGCCCCCTGGTTTATAGAAATACAATTATATGTATTTAATCCTGAGAGCATGTATCTGTGAGATTTCAAGAGTAATGTGAATCGTGTGGTGTGTTATGATGCTGTCCCGGTCACACTACCTGGTACCTATGGGTATAAAGGTCATTGCCCAAAATCTCATTCAAGTGTATTTGAACAAGTCCCTGCAATGTAACCATTGACTTCCGCATGGGCACGATAGGCTACACATCGAACTTCACAACTTTGTGCCCATCGGTTTCTGAACACTTTCATCTGATATCGGAGGTAACGTTTGAAACACTAGGGATTGTTAAGTTATATTTTCATTCACTTCTTACTTGAACATAGCATTTTTTTTTATATTTCTGTTGGATGTTCGTATATAACTCAAGACGAATGTTCCTTTTTTTGTGCTTTTCTACAGCAAACACTGCAACAGTGGAAGAAAGTTTTTTACATTGGAGCAACAGCTTATCTAGTCTTTGGAACAACATTTGTTATTTTTGGTTCAGCTGAGTTACAACCTTGGAATGATATACAATACTCCAACAGCGAAGATTCACTTGTGACATCTTCTATACCACCAGACTCTTTAGAAAAAGTTCAATTTAAGTCAGAAACTGTAGTAGAAAAAGCTTCTGGTTTTAAGTAGGTCATATCTTCTGACGATGTCGAATTACAACGTCCAGTTTAGCTCATTACCTAATGATGTTTAAATCTAGTTTCTGTATTAATGGATTTTATGTAGTAGAATTGTAAGAGTTGAAAAACATTTCCTTCCTGAAAGAGACATACGATGTGTGGTTCTCAGTAATAATGTCTAATTGATGACACATCCTAACTATTTTAACTGTAAGTTAAAGGACTTTTCCTTGCTGAAAGAAACATACGATGTGTGGTTCTCAGTAATAATGTCTAATTGATGACACATCCTTACTATTTTAACTGTAAGTTAAAGGACTTTTCCTTCCTGAAAGAAACATACGATGTGTGGTTCTCAGTAATAATGTCTAATTGATGACACATCCTTATTATTGTAATGGTATTCTTGTTACCTGAATGTCTGTGTATAGTGTAGAATCAACTCAGTTTCTCAAAATTAAGAAACACGAGCTTTAGAAAGAGATGGGTGTTATTCTTATAGCGCTATTTGTCGTCATTAAACATATTTATAATTAAAATCACGATAAAATTCTTCTTGGACGCATGTGTAAGCTCATTAATAAATACAATTAAAAACTACCTTGTTTTTTTTTTTGGTTTATACAAAAATCATTTTTATTTAAGACTTGATCAACAGTCTCAACTACACCCTATATGTTTCGACGCTTCAACACGTCATCTTCAAGAGTGTAAATCACGAGAACAATCCACCGTTTATACTTCTGTTCAATCATGTTACATCTTAATCTACATGTTTGTTACAGAATATCACACCATCTAGTTACATTATCTCCCATTAATCCTTTAATCCATTAATTCTTGTTTAATACATTATTTGATTATCCCTAATGAATCACGAATATTTCTAGTACTGTCACTTTTGGGTTGAGTTTATAGTCCCCCCCCCCTCCACCCCCCATTGTATCGTATGTTTTGTTGTACCAACATGTTCGGGTAATGGCGAAGTCTTTTCTTATTTATAACATTTCTCTTATGATCATTTATTCAATATTTTAGGTTCCTTTTAGCCTGGCCTATGAAAAGGTTTCCATATTCATAAAGTGTTTTGTAAATTCCTGTTTATATTATCGTTAATTTTATTTCAGAATTGACTAAACGGTAAAAAAATGTTTTTTTTAATATATTAAAAACTCTGCAAGATAACTAGGTATATGGAACAAAATCGTCCTTTCTTTTTTGTGTCCTCGTCAAATTACTATTATCACAAGTCTGTTTAATAATTATTTTAACTGCTATCTGGGTAAAAACTTCTATTAACTGCTATATGTTTCAACAATCGTGTAACACATTGACAAAAAATATCACCTGGAGCAGTTATATTATTTCATAATCTAATTCTTGTTTAGAACACATAAAAAAGATATCACGTAAAAAGGTGATATTTATGATATTTTTCAGCTTTTGTATTACACGATTGTTGATGTGGTGGCGTGATCACAGAGTTATGTTTATGATAAATTGTAGTCTCTAACGTTCGTCCTATTCTTGTAAGTAATACGTTTAAAGAAGGTAAACTATATTTTCATCTGCCTTATATGTAAATTTAAAGAAGCCTCTAAACTATTTACGTAATTAGCAAAGTTTGTTGGTTTTTACCATTATCGCCATAACACAAAGATGTTATTAATACATCGAATAAAAATTTCTGATGTCAAATTCAACTAAGATAGAGCTTCACTTTCAACTGTTTGAAGTTAAGCACAAAGCACAATGTGATATCTGTGCTCTGCCCACCACGGGTATCGAAACCCGGTTTCCAGCGTTGTAAGTCCGCAGACATACCGCTGTGTCACTGGGGGGCTTCACTTTCAAATTCATTCCTACATATAAAATCATACAATAACAGTGGTGACAGAGGAGATCCAACAGCAAATCCTCTTTTCTATTATTAACCTGAAACTAAGGATTTTTACACATTTTAACCCCATTAATGATATATAGAATTTTTAGTGGTGAAATTTTATTTTCTGTTAACTTTTTTTCTAAACAGTCAATGGGATTTTAATTTGATTGGGACTTCGGTAAATAAAGAGACTACATCAAATGAAATAATTTAATAATTTTCCTTTTATGTTATTAATTAATTTTTTCTACTAATTTTATACAATTTTGACTGTACCTTATATGTTGACGTACCTAAGTCAGATACTTTTGGTCTGAAGATATAATTGGTTTTGTGAACCTTGGGATCAATCCCAAATAATTTTTTTTATTGTGTAAATCACAAAAGGTTGCTGTTTTTAATTGTACTTATTTATTATTCGACACAAATGGTTATAAGTGCACTTAATGAATTGCTGTCTCGCGTTATAACCCGGATTGACCATAACACCTTGAACAATTAGGAATCCTCTCATTACGAATCAGGGGAGATCGCCGACGTTATTATCCTTTACTTAAAACCAGTACAGAGATAACTCAACAGATTATGTTCACGCTATAACCCGGATTGACCATAACACCTTAAATAATTAGGAATCTTCTCATTACGAATTAGGGGAGATCGCCGACGTTATCATTTTTTACTTAAAACCAGTACAGAGATAACTCAACAGATTATGTTCACTTCCAAATCCTTTGGCAATGTTTTGTTTCGAGAAAGAATAAAGAACATATTCAATTGAAAGACACAATGGCTTTCAAACATTACCTATATCGAAATTTGTTTTATAAGTGTTTCTATTGTACTACTCCCTACAAACGTATATCTACTGTGTACAGTATATTTTTTTAATGTATTAAAAATAAATAGAAAAAAATTCGAATTTGTGTAATGATTCAAGGTGGTTAATAAATCTGTATGTACCCTATATTCCAGTTTCCGTTGGTTTTAAAGAACGCTTTTTATAGTGCAACAGTTAAACACAGGTAAAGAGGACACGGTATGTCATCAGTACACAGCTTGACTGCTAAAAGTTTTAGCATATGAGGTCTCTCATTTAATCATTATTACATTATATTATTATCAATTGTATCTAATTTTGCTTTCACGATGACAGTCAATTACTGATCACTTCTAGAGAATTTAACATTCGTCGTCGTTACTGCCAAAAAATTACAGATGTAAAAGTTATTTTTTCTTCGTATACATTATGCTTGTTTGTTTGTAATTAAGCACAAAGCTACACAATGGGCTATCTGTGCTCTGCCCACCACGGGT